AGCAGTCCCTGTGCTATTTTAAGTACTTAGACTATAAGCTCTTTGTTCTCTGTTTGTACAGCGCCTAGCACAGTAGGGTCCTGCTCCACAACTTGGGCTCGTAGGTGCTATGGTAATACAAATAATTAAAAAAGGCTTTAAGTCAATTGCTACAGTGTGAGAGTGTCAGTCCATTTAGTTCAATGGGATTACTCTAGAGCTGGGTATTATTATTACTCCTATGCATAAAGTTACTCGTGTGTAAGAGTTTGCAGAATCAGAGCTGTGGTGAACTGCTTTCACCTCCATGTGAAATTACAGAATTCTTTTTGGAGTGAAATAGCTGCTGCTTTTATTTTGGATTGGGTTTGAATCTTTCTAATTCATACACAGAATCCAGTTTCTTTTTGACTGGTGACGTTTGAAATTATCTTTTTTTCCTCCCCTATTGTGCTAGGATAAACCACCTCGAGGTTCCATTAGTGTTACCCCACATCATCCTTTACTCTCTTGCTTGGAGAAGATACAGAGGACTTTAAATGGTAACAAGATGCAAGAAAATTCATAATCCATTGTTAAACATTCCATGAAATAGCTGTATCGGAGTGGAGGGAAGGTAGGAGGAGAGAGGAGTAGTGGTTGATTGGGCATGACCTCGATATGAATAGATGCTTCCAATCAGGATTAAGATTCTATTGTGCTAGGAACTGTATAAACACAGAGGGTAGACGTTCTCTCTTGTATTATCTATACTAGTTAAATCATACTTTCTGAAGCAAAATAATTTGCCATTTTTTTTTCTAGTACATTGAAATCTGATTAAATAATTTCCCCTTTTCAGCTAAATCTTTGTCTACTGTGATGAGCAGATTGGAATTTTTATCCAAACAAAGGGGGTAAGTTTGTTTATGCGTTAAATGTAAATGAAACAGAACTACCTCAAATCCAGTGAGAATTACCATATGGATGACTTAACATTTTGTTAACTTTCTTGGATTGGCATTCTAATGGGCTATGTTATGTGGAACAAAAAGAGGATACGTAACTGTGTCCTCTTAATGAGTTATTTGTGGCATTCTTAGAAGTGGTTGTTCTGGTGGGGTTGAGGAAGCCATGCGAAGACTAAGGTAAATATTTGCTAAACACATTAATAATGCAAATCACAGAAGAGAAGACCAAAAGTACGTTCTCTAGTTGGATAGTTATCAGATGCTAAGCCAAGGAACAGCTATTTTAGAGCGGTAAACATTTCCAAATAAAATAAACTGGCCTTCTTTCTTCACACAACAAAACTTCCAGGTATATGATGCTTTTTCCTTTTCTGTAGGTTGAAATCTCACATAAGCCCCAATGGGACAGCTTGCTATTTAACATCAGACATGTTCTATGTAGAAGTTCAGTTGGAGAAAGATGGAAAGGTGATAGATGTAAAATTGGCTCACCCTGGAGAAGCTCCTGTGGTAAAGTTGATCTGTTTTCTTTTTTTTTATCATGCTTCTTGTGTAACAAAACATAATCTTGTTTTTATGGCTTTTTTCTGAAAGTGACTCATAATGGGATCTTTGTAACTGGCTGGAAAAACACCAAATAAGATACTTGGAATCCTTTTTAGCATTTTAAAGGACAGTGATTCAACAGGTAGGCAGGCTGAGCTATTCTCCTAGTTAGGTAATGTTTTTGTACTGCATTTTACATCTTCACAGTACTATAATGTGTTGTAGGGAGCTCTTGTGAGTTTGTTAAAATTCTACCACCAAGCATAAGGGAAGAGGGGTGATTTCTCTGCTTCATACTTCCTCTTTAAATATTGCTACATCCAGACCTTCCCCAGATATCTATCCCTTCTTAAAGCCCTACAAAAGTTATGTTCAACATACTAAATATATTCCTCAGGTGCTAAGAATTCCAGTAAAGTGCAGTTTAATATGTATTCCCAGAGGGGGTATTTTAATTATTGTGAGAATTTCTCAGACATCTTCAATACACGTGCACACATTCCTGCTAATGGGGATTATTACAGGGGAATCTTTTTTTTTTTTTTTTTTTTTCCCTGGGAGTTCCTTGTTAAAATATTGATAGAACATCACTGTGTACTACAAGCATTGGTGCTGCTGTTTGTTATTAGGCGAAACAACCTGCAGGGTAGTGTGGAGAAACTTGTGCTGCCGCTGCCAGTGCTACTGTTCTGAGGCTAAATGGAAGTGTGGAAGACTTCAGGGGAGTCAGCCCAAAAATCTGAAAAGAATACAAATTAACTCAAAATAAACTGGAACAAATGTGTCTCGCGAGGAAAATCTGTCATTTATGATGGGTTATCTTATTAAGAATGGAAGTACATATTCAGAGAACCGCACCACAATAGTTGCCAATAAAAAAACTAGCAAATGGATTTTAGAAATAGAATTTATCAAATGAGTTATCTTGGGTAGTTATCAGTCACACAGCCATTCTCTTTTCCTAGTATTCTCATATTAAGATTCTGGCATAACTAACTATATAATATGACTTTGATTTCTGGGAGGAAATTATTGTTGAGTAAAATAATGAAGAATGTTATTGTCACCAGTAAAATGTTTACAGAGGTATTTCATAAAGGCTGCTAGAAAAGTTTGACCTTTTTTATTTTATTTATTTATTTATTTATTTTCTCTAGGTTTGTGATGACCTAGTGCAGCTTCTAAGGTATAGACTTGCTTAGAATTCCTTGGCTGATTAAAGGGAATTATTTAATAGTCCTGAACCTATTTTGAAAATAATGTCTGAAACATTTAAGTTAGCATTGTATTTTAAAGGGAATAGTACAAGAGTTTTCTCTTCTAAATATCCTAATATCAGGAAGCTACATATTGCTGAAAACTTGAATTTTTTTTTAAAAATAATTTTATATTTTTAAGTATGAAACCAGAAAGTGATTGATAAGAAATTAAAACAATGTCCTTGTTTAAACATATCTATATTAAAAATATAAAAAAATCCGCTTTAATGCTTCATATTAGAGGGCTTTTTTGTTTTTTTAATTCTTTATAGTCTGTAAACTAAAGGGGAGGAAATACAAACACAGCTTAGAAAATAACTGCAGGGAAAAGGTATGTTCACTTCTGGAGTGCAAGCTTCTGTAAGCAGATGCGGCTCCATTAAATTTAACAATGTGTATTGGCTCTTTCTATCAGCTGAACACATGTAATATGTGTGCTTATCTTATAAGGACTGCAGGGCTACATAACACAATTTAAACCCTTGCTTATTAAAGAGTGGACAATACATAAAAAATTGTACAAACTGGTTTTTGGCTAGTAATGAAACATATGGATTCTTAAAATGATTTTCCAAATATTATTGCTATATAGATTAGCTTTTGTTGTATTCAGACCCTGAACTGACACTCCCTCGATTTTTTCCCCCCCCCCCCTTTTTTTTTTTTCAGTTCTTCATCAATCTTCTACTGTGGCAGTGCAAATAAATCAGAATAATCTGTTTCTTTTTCATCATGTAAAGGGGAGAAAGGGTCTTCACATTCCCACTAGTGATATTTCTAGAGGATGTTGTGCAATGGATTTAAAAATTCTTATTGCCAAATATTTCTTGACCTGTTCCAAACATTTCCTGTTCCAAGTGACCTTCATTTTAAAGACCAGCTGAAAAGCTCATTAGATTTTAAAATATACTTAAAAAACAAATTTGGTCAACTGCTCTTTCCAATGAGTATATTTCAGTGGCTGTGGTATCTCACATAAGTTTTCTACTGGAATAAAAAGGACAAGGATGGGTGGGAAATGGACAGAGGTATCCTCTTTCTTCCTTCTACTTGAGGGCCTGCATTGCACATTGGTCATCTTAAACTCTATTTGTCTCAAACTGAACGATTAGCATCTCTAATTTCATAATATAGCTAGCTGAGTTCAAAACTTTCTTTTTCTCACTCACCTTTGGTAGTAGTACCTTTATAAAGTGCATCAAACATTTTGCTCCCAATTATGATCTTAAAAGGTGATGTGTAGTTACAATATGTAGGGATAAGGCGGAAAGTACACTAAACCACCCCGTTAGAGTATACCATTCAATCTAACTCCATCTCAGATATTCATTACTTTATGGTCTTTAATTGGCTAATGGTGGACCCTATTAAGTAGTATTACATTTAATGTAATAATACTTCTCCATTTTTATAACATCTTACATTTGTGGGCCTCAAACCACTGGTGAAATAAGATTAACAAATGTGCCTGTGAAGTACGGAAGTATTGCTATCCCCATGTTCTAGATGGGAAAACTGAGGCAGAGATAAATTTAAATGGTTTGCTTAAGTTTCTGGTTGGAGAGAGAACTTGGTCTGGTGGTGAAGTCAGGAGATTGAGTCCTATTCCTGGCCCTAACGCTGACTTGTTGTGTATCCTTGGGCAAGTTGCTTATCCTCGGTGTTTCAATTTACCCATTCAGACTGTTTTAAAAATTTGTCTATTTCACAAGGGTGTTATGGATCTAGTGTGAATAGAGATCCTGGAGATCTTTTGATGAAAGAACTATCTATGGGTTCATTGTATTATGGGGGAGTGTAGTGCACGACTAACTGTATTGAAATGTCAAGAAGTGCTGTTCCTAGCTGATAAGTTACATCTCCAGCTGTCAGATACGTATACCATGCCTGTTGATTGCTTTCAGTGATGCATACTTAAGTAATGTCAAATTTAATTGCATTGCTTTGTGCCTGAGTCAAGTCACATTTCCTGATATATTCTTAAAAAGAAAAAATTCTTAACAACGTTGTGAAATGCTAAATATTACAACCAGGTTTACGTCACTGTCTCTATGCACTGTATGAAATATTTCCACCTCACTATATAAAGCTGTATGGTGTGTTTCATTCATCTTTTGGTATTTTGGCTGTAATAATTGTTCTTTATTGTTAGGATGAAGAATTATGATGCCTTTGGAAAGATTCTAGAAGGCCTGTTAAATCTGTATCAAATTCCAGGAAATAGGTTGTATCTCTTAAATATAATTTAGCTTTTATTTGTCAATTATTTAATTCTTAATAATCCGTATTCTCTTTCCTAGTGACATGAAAGCTAAGGTATATCTTGCCTTGCAATCTTTGGAAAAAGATCTCTATTCAATGTCCCTTCTGTACAGGTAATCTTGAGTACATAGTGCCTTTGGTTTTATTCTTTTTGCAATATGAAATTATGAAATTGGTATAATAGAATTGCTCACAGCAGTATACATGGATATTGGGTTTTCTCCCAATGGGAAGCTAGAAATCTTTGCCTTGGTGCAGTCTTTCTAGGGGTCCCAGCTTTCTAGGGGACCTCAGGAGGTCATCTAATCCAACCCCCCGCTCAAAGCAGGACCAACCCTAACTAAATCATCCTAGCCAGGGCTTTGTCAAGCCAGGCCTTAAAAACCTCTAAGGATGGAGATTCCACTACCTTCCTAGGTAACCCCTTCCAGTGCTTCACCACCCTCCTAGTGAAATAGTTTTTCCTAATATCCAACCTAGACCTCCCCCACTGCAACTTGAGAGCTTTGCTTCTTGTTCTGTCATCTGCCACCACTGAGAGCACCCTAGCTCCCTCCTCTTTGGAACCCCACTTCAGGTAGTTGAAGGCTGCTATCAAATCCCCCCCCCCCCCGCTCTCTTCTCTTCTGCAGATTAAATTAGCCCAGTTCCCTCAGCTTCTTTTCGTAAGTCATCTGCCCCAGCCCCCTAATCATTTTCGTTGCCCTCCGCTGGACTCTTTCCAATTTGTCCACATCTTTTCTGTAGTGTGTGTGGGGGGAGGGGGGGGGGAAGGTGCCCAAAACTGAACACAATACTCCAGATGTGGCCTCAGCAGTACTGAATAGAGGGGAATAATCACTTTCCTCGATCCGCTGGCAGTGTTCCTACTAATGCAGTCCATTAGCCTTCTTGGCAGCAAGGGCACACTGTTGACTTGTATCCAGCTTCTCGTTCACTGTAGACTCCAGGTCCTTTTCTGCAGAACTGTGATTTAGCCAGTTGGTCCCCAGCCTGTAGCAGTACATGGGATTCTTTCGTCCTAAGTGCAGGACTCTGCACTTGTCCTTGTTTAGCCTCATCAGATTTATTTTGGCCCAATCCTCCAATTTGTCTAGGTCACTCTGGACCCTATCTCTCCCCCCCAGTTTAGTGTCCTCTGCGAACTTGCTGAGGGTGCAATCCATCCCATCATCCAGATCATTAATGAAGATGTTGAACAAAACCAATCCCTGGGGCACTTCGCTTGATGCCAACTAGACATTGAGCCGTTGATAACTACCCGTTGAGCCCGACGGTCTAGCCAGCTTTCTGTTCTCCCTCCTTTGTAGTTGGGTTTGCTTTCTTTATTGGTCACAGCTGTGGGTGCATGCCTCCACAACTGGCAGTTCTAGCAGACGTGTGGGGGTATGGTCATCTGATTGCCTATAAGTGGGAAAGACTCTTCTCCCTTCTGCCTATGCTCAGTAAAGCGTTCGTAAACCACATTTGTAAACCCTTATGGCCAAAGCCCAGCCTTGGCTAGTGAAGGTTACTTCTCTTGACAGAAAATTGGCATTTCTATCCAAACTTCTTGCTCAATGTTGTAACCAGAAAGCTTATGGTTGTAATGACAGGTACCATTTCATTATCCTCGGGTTTGCCTCTTTCATTACGTTCAGTCAGTGCAAGGGGCCATGATCGGTAACTAATATGAATTGGTTTCTTAGGAGCTAGTACTGTGGTCTCTCTATCGCTCACTTGTCGGCCAAGTATTCCTTTTGTATCACCAAGTATACCTTCTTGTGAGGAAAGAGTTTCCAGCTGATGTATGCTATCAGGTGTCCTCCTCCATCTACCTCTTGGGAAAGACTACCTCTAGTCCTACCTCTGATGCATCTATTTGCAATATGAATTGCTTCCCGAAGTTTGGAAATACAACACTGGGTGTCTGTAGAGTATGCCCTTTCACTCTTGAAAGGCCCTTTCCCAGGTGGGCACCCATAAAACCTGTCTTAGGGGTTGTCCCTGGTTAGATCAGTTAGCGGGACTGCTATGTTGTTGAAATGTGGTATGAACTGACAGTAGTAGGCAGCTATACCTAGGGAGGCCCAGACTTGGCAGTGAGGGTCTTGTAGGCCTGTAAGGCATGAATCTTAGCCACCAATGGGCAGATTTATTGTCCGCCAACCATGTGCCCTAGATAACGGGCTTCCTGTTTTCTTATCGTGCATTTAGCGGAGTTAGCCATTAACTTGACTTCCCTCAGGGATTGGAGAATGGAGGCTACCTTATTCAGATGGGAATCCCAATTCTTGCTATAAATGACTGTCATTCAAGTACACTACCACATCAACTGTTGAAAAGTAGCTGCTTTCCCATGTAATCTGGAGGGCGTTGTCTTAAAATGAAATATGCCAAGCAGCATAGAAAAGCGGTCTTCTCCCGAGAGTCCGGCCTTAAGGGGATCTGCTAGTACTCCTTCATCAAATCCAGAGTGGTAATATACTGGTTGGGAGAAGCCTAGTACAAGAGTTCATCTACCCATAGCATGGGGTAGGCATCAGATTTTGGAACTGCATTCACCTCTCTGAAGTCTATATAGAAATGCAGTGAGCAGACCGGCTTTAGAATCAGCACAATAGGACTCCTCCAGTCACTTTGGGATTCCTCTATTACCCCAAGTTCTAACATGGTCTTGAGCTCTTTCTTGATGGTTCCCATCAATTTGTTGGGGATTGTTCACAGCCCTTCCTGTATTACTTTAACAGGTTCTATATTAATGTGATGGTGGGGCATGGACGTCTTTGCAGGGTGATGCTGAGAATACTTTTGGAAAAGCGGCCACCAGTTGGAATGCCTGTTCCTTTTTGCTTCAGGTTTAGGCTTTCTGAGGGGCACTGAGCTTTCTTTTAGGTAGTCATTAATTTAGGGTACCAGTTCTGGTTCCTCAGCATGATGAAGAGGTTTGCCCTGGCTCTCCAGGGCTTCAGCAAATTTACATGGTAAACTTGTTCCTCCCCCCCCCCTCCTCCCGGGTTGTCTGACTAAATAGTCCATGGTTCCTACCTTCTTTATCACCTTATAAGGACCTTGCCGCTTGGAAGTAGTAGTAGAACTCTGCCTGGCTGGGAGGCATGCATTTGTGCCCCTTTCTTATAATGTTGTTGTTCCTATGCTTCTCTGAGGCTTTCTCTAGCCTATGCCCCCATAAACTCCAATCACTCCCATAACTTTAAGACAGAATTGTACTATGTTTTCAGCTCTTGGAGCCTGGCTTTTCCATGTTTCCCATACCAGGTCTCGTATGCCTGTTGCCCAGATAGCAGTTTGCATGGTGATGCTTGAGGTATTTCCCTGACGGTGGAGAGTAGGGTCAAGAGTAGTTGGTCCCAATGTCGTGGGCCTGGATAATGAATTTCTTGAGCATTCTCCTGAGTGTCTGATTAAATGTTTCCACTAGGCCATCCATCTGCGGATGGTACACAGATGAGCATAATGCTTTGACTTTCAGTAGTTCCCAGACCTCTCTGATCAGCCAGGATGTGAAATTTGTTCCCTGGTCTGTCAGGATCTCTTTGGGAATCTCTACCCGTGTGAAGATAGCGATAGTCTTGGCATTCGTTCACTGGAGTGGCATGGCTGCCAGGTAGTAGGTGGCATAGTCTACAATAACAAGTATATGTTAGTGCCCAAAGGCGCTCTTCTGTAGGGGATCTATAAGCAGAGCCAGTGCTAGGCATAAGTAGATTAAGCAATTGCTTAGGGCCCCGAGCGTCTTAAGGGGGCCCCCGAACTTGCCTGTTTTAGTATTGTGTGTGTTGGCGGGGCAAACATATTCCTGCTTAGGGCCCCCAATAGATTAGCAGAGGCTCTGCCTATAAGATCAGTTCCTACTCATTCAAATGAGGTCCCCTTCAAAGGAAGGGATACTAATAGAGCCTGCTTGACTTGCTTAGTGGCCACTAATTTAGCATTTGGGGTATGATGCACAGAAATTCTTGACTTCTTTAAGAACCCCTGGCCAAGAGTATCAGGCCAGGATCCTAGAATGTATCTTGTCCTGCACATGGTGTTGTGTGTGCTAAATTTAGACGCTTGCGATGATATACCTGGGGTATTAGTAGTTCCGTCCATATCTCCTGGTCTACGCAGTACAACAAGTCTGCCTTAAAGGCAAAATGGGGATATTCCTGTGTCCTCAGGGGATCCACCCTTTCATAGTCTATCACTGCTACTTGTTGTCTATAGCAGTAACAGGTTATCGAGTCTGTCCTTTTGTCTTCTAGCAGCTTGGAGGAAGCATCCTCCTTCCAACTTTCACTAGGCCTTTGTTCCTGTGTAGGTTGGGGCGAGAGGCTGGTGGGATGCCTAAAATGGTGTGTTTGCTATTTCAGGGAAATCTTACCCACAGACCCTGAGAGGGCCGCCTGTAACCTATCCTGTCCAGAAACCAGTCAGCTGCCTGTGGTTTACCCAATAAGGCCATCCTGATTTGTTCATAGTTCTGGGCACTGCATCGTCAAGTCTGCTGCCTGGACATCCCCAATGAGGAGTGGAGCAAGCTGATTGCCCACGGGGCTGGGGACGATTGAGAGGCCATGGCCACCCTTTCAAAAGTTACCAAGAATGACTCTGGGTCATCGTTTGTTAACATTTTGGAAAGTGTCTGGACTGGAATGGCTCCCCTGAAATGTGGGAGACACATTTCCTCTAGGGGGGGAGCCTTGAGAAGCAGCAGTTGGTAATAGTTCTGCCATCTGTTGCTACAACTGTTGCTGGTCTGGTGCCATCTGTTCAAACAGTTGTTGCTGTGTCTGCTGTTCTGAGTCAGCCAGCCATTGCTGGAGCTGATTTACCTCCATAGCTCGTGTGTATATAAATATATAACTACTTTTTAAGCTTCCCTCTTCTGCAGGGACAGTTGAGGTAGGGTTACCATCCGTCCGGGTTTCCCCGGACATGTCTGGCTTTTTCAGCCTTAAATGGCCTTCCGGGGGGGATTTCTAATGAAGTAGAAATGTCCGGGATTTCCCCTCCTGCGGAGTGCGGCGCGGCTGATTGGACGCCTGGCCTGATTGAAAGCCGCTCGCAGCCACTAGGGCCTCTAGCAGCCAGAGTCCCTCCCCCTTCCCCGCTCCCTCCTTCCCCACAGAGCAGCGCGGAAGTGTTTAGTCCACGTGGAGCCTGCATTTCTCCCTCTGCCGGGTGAGCGGGGGGAGCAGGGCAGGCGGCGGCGGGGTGTGTGTGTGTCGAGGCTGCAGGAGGGGGGGTGTAGAGGCTGCAGGGTGAGTGGGGAGCAGGGGGCACAGAGGCTGCAGGGGCGGGGGGGGGGC